GTCGCGGAGAACCTAACGGGTAACCGGGGCTCCGGCTCGACGTGCAGGAGAAGGAACGGGGTGGTTTTTAGTCAGTAAGAGTCTGACACTCCCTCCCGCCTCACCCAGGCGGAAGCAGTCATTCGATGATTTTCCCCCTTAAAAAAATTGTACATAATATATCTAGTAGAAATAAATAGCAGTAATAGGCTTTGGCTGGACAACTATGGCAACTTCACTAGCTGAAAATGCTGAAATATTGTAATTTCATCATCATAATCAGCCTGTATTCGTCCACTGCTGGACATAGGCCTCTCCTATGGCACGCCACTGAGCTCGGTCTTCAGCTCTTCTCATCCAACCACTGCCAGCCACCTTGCAAATGTCGTCACTCCACCTAGCTGGAGGGCGCCCTACACTGCGTTTGCCCAGACGCGGTCTTCACTCTAGAACACGTTTACCCCAACGGTTATCGGTTCTTCGACAAATGTGACCGGCCCACTGCCACTTCAGCTTACTGATCCTTTGGGCTATGTCGATAACTAAGATAACTTTGGTTCTCTGTCGGATCACTTCGTTTCGGATATAATTTATAAATATTGTAATTTAACTAATTTAAATATTAGGCGGAGATTCATCAACTTACTGGCCGGGCCCTCAGGAATGATTACTGAAATCATAATTCACTTTCGCGAATATATATTTTATTGCAAAAGACACGGGCCACCTTTGACCACGACATTGACCTTAACATTCTGAATTTCTTAGTCTACACTAGCGACATTCTGGACGGTTATTGAACTACTATTTAGTTAAGTTTAACATTTGCCACTGGATAATATATTCCTCATAGAAGGAGTATTAGGGATCATAATTTAAATTCTGTCCTCTTCTTCTTTTTTAATAAATCATAATAAATACAAGAATATAAGAATAAAGGTAATAAAAACGAATATGACATTAAATGACAGTTTTTTTATTCGATTATTTAGTCGATTTTCATGGTTAGTAACCTTGTAGCGTCTGTATTTGTCCCCTCACTATCATTTAGCAACATGGCTGATTTGCTTGGCCTAGCATTCCAAATAGGTTAACGTTGGTTTCTGTTTATAGTTATAAAACGTTGTTTGGTGATACTGACAAAAAATTGTGTGTGTGCAGTTGTGAATAGAGGCGTATATGATGATATAGTGTATTTTATAATCATAAGGTAAGAATAACAACATAGAATGTTCAATTGGCCATATTTAGTACATTCTGTAATGGCCGAGATTGTAATGAACTTATTTCTTTAATTAGGTATCGAAGTAATTAACCATGGATTTCGGACACCCTCCACCGAATATGGGGATACCTCCTCCAAACATGGTTATGAATATGAATATGGGACCACCAGTTAATATGCCCGGTAGAAACAACATGCGCCATATTAGGCCGTGCAACTACCAGATGCGGTTTCCACCTCAAGGGCCACTGAACATGACACAAGATGATTTTGATGGTAAACGCTTACGTAAATCCGTTATGAGAAAAACTGTAGATTATAATGCTGCTATTATAAAAGCTTTAGAGTGTCGCGTTTGGCAGAGGGACTGGCGGGACCGACACGCGCTGCAACCTGACGCTATGTATACTCCCGACTTGTTACCGCCACCCTCTTATCCCGATAATCCTATAAATGCCGTCACTACTCGATTTGTTAAAACTGCTACTAATAAAATGCGATGTCCAATTTTTGCCGTGGCTTGGACACCCGAAGGGCGACGTTTAATAACTGGGGCATCATCTGGAGAGTTTACATTGTGGAATGGATTAACATTTAATTTTGAAACAATTCTTCAAGCTCATGATTCTCCTGTGAGGTCAATGGTTTGGTCCCATGGCGAAGGTTGGATGGTTACTGGAGATCACTCAGGATTTATTAAGTATTGGCAAAGCAATATGAACAATGTTAAGATGTACCAAGCTCATAAAGAAGCTGTTAGGGGTATTAGTTTTAGTCCTAGTGATTCCAAAATTGTCACTTGTTCGGATGATGGTTCACTGAGAATATTTGATTTCTATAGATGTCAAGAAGAAAGAGTAATGAGGGGACATGGTGCTGATGTGAAATGTGTCCAGTGGCATCCTACTAAAGCACTGATTGTGTCAGGAAGTAAAGATAACCAACAACCAATAAAGTTGTGGGATCCAAAATCTGGTACAGCTTTGTCTACGCTTCATGCACATAAGTCTACTGTGATGGATCTGAAATGGAATGATAATGGCAATTGGTTAATTACTGCTTCTCGTGATCATCTTCTCAAACTATTTGATATTCGTAAATTAGGTACAGAGTTACAGATATTTAGAGGTCACAAAAAAGAGGCATCCAGTGTTGTGTGGCATCCAACGCATGAGGGTTTGTTTTGTTCAGGTGGTTCAGATGGAGCCATCTTATTTTGGAATGTTGGTACTGATAAAGAAGTTGGCTGTATTGAAGGAGCCCACGAATCTATTGTCTGGACAATGGCTTGGCATCCTCTTGGTCACATTTTATGTTCAGGTTCCAATGACCATACATCTAAGTTCTGGACTCGAAACCGACCTGGAGATCTGATGAGAGACAAATATAATCTCAACACTTTACCACCAGGAGTTCAGGATGATCATGACTTAGAAGAACCCGCAGTAATACCTGGTATGGGACCTGAAGATAAGGTAGAGATATTTTCTTCAGACACTGATAAGGTTATTCCTGGTCTAGATTTGGATACTACATTTGTTCCCATGGAATTTGAGAAGAAAGTTAAGAAAGTACCATACAGTAAACCTATTCCAAGAAATTTCCAAGCTCAATGGAACCATGCTCCAACCTCTGATGAGACTGCTAATGAAGTTTTGACTCAAGCTCTAGTAGAATCTGTACCGGGGGCTATACCTCTTCAACAATTAACACCGTCAGCAATTTTTATTTATGGTAAACTGATTGGTGTGGAGCCTGGGTCAAAATTAGAGAAAGCTATATCTGATGGACCATTGGCACTAAAAAAATATATTGCCTCGGGTGAATTAGAAGAGTTACATGATGTAATGCCTCATTTAGAGGATGATGCAGACGAAGAAAATTTCCAACCATTTGAATATCCAGACCCTGAAAATGAAGATGCTCAAAATGATGAGAATAATGAAAGAGATGACTATGAAAATTATGATCAAGATAATGAATATTATAATAATGAAATGGATGCAAGCGAACAAAACAATCAAGATGATGAACAAGGGTTTAACAACGGACCTGATGCAAATAATATGGGTTCTATGAACAATATGCCACCACCCATGGGTAACATGATGCGACCTCCAATGCCACCAATGGGAAATATGGGTCCAATGGGTGCTCGGCCTAATATGGGGCCCATGCATCCAATGGGTCCTCCTATGCATATGCCCCCTCCTCCTCATATAGCTAACATGATGGCAAATATGCCACCACCTATGGGTGCCATGCCACCTATGGGCAACATGCCACCAATGAATAATATGCAACCACGTCCACCTTTTCCTGACAATGGATTTAATAAACCTCATTTCGATTCAGGTTATGATAATCAATCGCAATTCTCTCAAAATGATGATGAATATAATGAAGATGATTCATCATATGAACAGAATTACGATGATGAGAATTATAACAATGATGATGGCAATGGTGATGATGGATACAATAATAATATGCGAAATCAGAGATGGGATGGCGGCTTTAGGGGACGCGGCCAAAACCGTGGAAGAGGTCGCGGCATGAATGGCCACGGAGTGCGGAACAACTGGAGAGGAAATGCTGGTCCTCGTGGTGCCCCTCGTGGACGAAGAGGCACTGGCGCCAACAGAAACTTCAGGAGAGGCGGGAAACCTGTCTCCAACTAGCGAACCGACCTTACCTATATTGTTCTGAAAATTATAGACTTATTAATTTCTTACGTTATAATCCAGACTTTGCGAAGTGTTTCGAAAGTGCTAGACAATACAGTGATGTTGATGCAAAAGGTTGTACATAATTTTTATTTACGCCTTGTATTTTATTTTGATAAGCTAAACCACATAATAAAATTTATATTATGTCACAAAATTATAGATTTTTGTACAGGTGTGTTGATACCCAATTTGCTGTAAATATGGTAAGTTAATTAGTTTCTTTGTAAAGTATTTCTGTTGATTACTATATTAACATGTTTTTTATTGTGGTGTCAGGTAATGATTTGGTTAAGAGGACAAGAAACTGCATTCCATCACATCCATTCGGGAGACGGGAGTCGGGAGTTGGGAGCAGCAGCAGGTCGTACAATGTTTCGCCTTACGTCTGGCTGATATCCATCGTGCGATCACCTCCACTTCACCATTCTTATAGTAAGAGCCTGGTATTTTTTGAATTTGTTTTGTCAATAATAAAGAAATAAAAATCTTGAATAAAGTTTTACCCGATTTCCGATTGTAATAAAAAATATATTAAAATAATGGGGACGCAATATGAATAAATAAAAAACACCCTGTCCGAGGGCCATCCTCTCCTTACGTCTATGTCAGTACATACTATTTCATTGTTCTGTTTAGTTAGTTTTTTGCCCTGGAATTGTACCCTTTTTGTTACTTTTGTTTTTTTTTTAATGATGGTTTACGTAGTTTCGTTAATTCTACATGACTGTGTTTATTTCACTGGTGGTTGATATTACTAGAATTGTGATTAACTCGTTTATGGTGAATGAGATGTGATAAACACTGCACGTAGTAATCGCATTTTGTCGAAATAAGAATTATTTGTCCGATGGTTCCATTATTACTTGCCTGTAATTCTATTATGTATATCCAACTTTATTATTATTTACACTGAAAAAAGATCGATTCGTTTTGGTACAATGATTTTTTTCATAAGATGGCAAAAGTTTTCTGAATAGTAAAATTTTACTAGGTATTCATTGAATATAATGGTGTTAGGGCTAACCTGCCGGTAACAAAGAACTACTATGCTTTAACTGGTCATACGTTTAATAGTTTAAACATCGTATTTTAAATTTGTAGCTGTCTTCAGACCTCTTTTTTCAATATTTTCCTTAACAACTACTAGTCAGACATGTAAATTCCTACATAACTGCTCAAGGAAACCGAATTTTGTTATTCTGTTGTTGAATTTATATTTCCAGTAATTCAAGTGCCACCAACTAACAGCAGGATTGTATTCTCTATTTTTACGTCACTAAAATTACCCTGAAAGCAAGAGTTACCACAGTTTCTAAGTATCAGACAAGGGCTATTTGCATTTTTTTTCCTATTACTGCATGGGCATTAGTTAGGCTACTTCTGTATCAATTGATCGTCAAAATATGTAGTAGCTACTACAGGCATGTACTGACACACCAGCTCTCACAACACATCCTTTTCCCTTGGACAAACACTGGATTCGGGTATTATATTTTAACCAAGTAACTCTAGGAATAATGAATGCTACAACAATGTTAAATGAATAAAATTTTGAAATTTTAAAGGGTTTCATTTGATACCGCCATCGACCTACATTAATAAAGAATTGTTGAGAAACAAAATGTAGTTTTAATTATTCTTTTTTTTTTTTACTTTTTGCCCTGAAATTATTGCTTGACGTCAACGTTCAACATTAGTTTCTTTTGTTCCAGATGACCCCTTGGCGATGGTTAAGTGGGCTGTTACTAATATTAGCATGTCGAGCAAACCAATTGGACAGAGGTGCCGACAAAAACGCTATAACAGATACGAGCGACAATGGTTCAGAACGCCTTGAACAAATTAACGGCACACCAAATTATAGACTGATAAAGCCCGACAAAAATACACCGTGGTTCCCAGAGCCGCAGATAAAGCTGAAGAGCTGCGTGAGAGAAGCCCCATGTGAATCACTCAATAAGACGACTTGCTTGGGAACGAAATTGCCCTACGATAAGACAAGCGTTCGCCTCACGTTTTATGAGAATCAATATCAAATACAGACACAATTGGACCTCTATAGAGAACTGATAAATGTGCCAAATTGCTGGGCCGTTATACAGCCTTTGCTATGCGCCACTTTCATGCCCAAGTGCGAAAAGATTTTAGGCAAAGACATGGTTTTTTTGCCCTCCTATGAAATGTGCAAGATCACTATGGAACCATGTTCAATACTGTACAATACATCTTATTTTCCGTCGTTTCTAAAGTGCAATGAAACATTGTTTCCTCCCAATTGCGAGAATACAATGAGAGAACTGAAGTTTAATACAAGTGGGAAATGTTTGCCACCCCTGATACACACTGATAAACCTCTGCATTTCTATGAAGGTGAGTTAATTGTGTTGTTATTGTTAATATGTGCCAGTTGTGCGATCAGTGGCTTATATTATTGTGTGTGAAATTAGATTATATGGATCACATGAAGAATTCACCGACCGAGCAGCAGATTTGTATTGCATGCATTTATTGGCTTCTATACAAAATAATCTATGATATTCCCTAATAGCGCCTCTTTAATGCAGAAGAGTTTCTAGGAAATAATATAAATATGATGCTTCCTACAGGCATATCAGGATGCGGGCTGCCCTGTCGAGACCCTCTGTATACTGAAGATGAACACCAACAGATACACAGGCTAGTGGCCTGGGGCGCCGGAGTATGTCTAGCATTGAACCTGCTCACCGTCGCCACCTTCCTGATAGACTGGCGGAGTGCCAACAAGTACCCAGCGCTAGTCATCTTCTATATCAACGTGTGCTTCGCTGTCGCATCTATGGGGTAAGTTGAAATGTAAACACAGCTTTATAATTACAGCTTTTTTATTTGGTTCAGGCGACAAGCGAGATTAATTTATGGTGTCACTTTTAACACAAGGCTACAGCTATGATTCAAATCATATTTTTATTGTTTCATTGTTATATTATTATGTTCTAGTGTGATGAATTCATATTGTGTATACATTGCAAAGGCACCATATCAACCATAATGCTATAATTATTGTTGTAGTTGTAATAGATTATGGAGAACAATAAAATATAAGTTGTAAAAACAATTGTAAATTGAGTAGGTACTGGTTGTGATTACTTCTGCTTTCGGATGTTAGGCCTTGGTAATACCTATTTATATTATACTTATGAATTATGCAATTCATTTCGATCTCACAGATTTCAATACATTTCTCTCATTGCAGATGGCTAATCCAGTTTGGCGTGGGATCCAGAGATGATATAGTCTGCTCTAAGGATGGCACTAGACGACAAGGCGAACCATCTGCTGAAGAAAATTTATCATGCGTCGTTGTATTTGTGTTGGTAAGTTATGACAATGTATTTCACAGAAGGTAGTAAAAAGATTGTCTAGTTACAAAACCATACCAAACATAAATAAAATATATCATGATATGTACCTCTTTTTGATTAGCTGTAGTTCATATTTTAAGTGGAAATTATCATTAATTTGTTTGTTATTAGGTGTATTACTTCATGATGGCAGCCTGCGTGTGGTTTGTCATTTTCACATACGCGTGGCACATGAGCTTCCGAGCATTAGGTAAGTTGCTATTGATATCATAAAAAGGATTGTCGTAACTCGAAACCAGTGCTGCTCCGTTTTTGCGCGGGTCCTAATGACATTTACGAATTATTCTTACATTTTATCGGTAATAGAATTATAAAATAGGGTAGTTTCCTAAATTTTATTTTAATGTCCGTCTGGTAGATTAATTTAAAACATTAGACACATATTTTTTCTTTTCTCACAAAATTAAATACTTTCGACGATATATTAATTTGAAATATCATGTGACGTCACAGCGTGTCACATTTTGTAGCACGTTATGACGTAATGACCTCCCACTCCCTAAACTTGCGCCATTTTATCTAAGTATTGCAACTAAATACGGGAAAATAAAAAAATACGTGTCCAAATTGGTTGCAGTCACCCAGATAGATTAATTTTATCCTAATTAAAATATATCTTTTCCAGGAAAAATTCAAGATCGTATAGACAAGAAAGCGGCATACTTTCATCTGGTTGCGTGGTCGCTGCCTCTGATCCTCACCATAGCGACGATGGCATTTGGCGAAGTGGACGGTAGCAGTGTCACCGGCATTTGTTTTGTGGGCTACGTGAACCATCCCATGAGAGCTGCCCTGCTACTTGCACCGCTATCTGTTGTACTCGCTTTAGGCGGCTATTTTCTTCTTAGAGGTATGTTTTGGAACAAATTATTTCATAAATATTTGTTTGATTTATTTGTGTAAATGCACCTGTTTGCACACTCACTTATGCTCTATAATGTCACTTGCGTAGTTAGCTAGTCTCCATAATTGAGATTGGTTAAGAGACCATCACTGTGGAATGTTAATTGATAAAATGACCAGCAAGATTAGTATTTGCTTGAAATAAATTAAATGGTTGAATTTTATAGATATTGAATGCCTATTAACTTTAATTTTTTTTCTCATTGCAGGAGTATTCTCCCTGATCGCGGTGCGTGTGTCCAGCAAGGATGTGATATCGCCGCGGGCTGCGAACAAGATCCGTCAGACAATAACTCGGTGTTCTCTCACCGCGGCGTTGGTGGCAGTCTTCATATGCGTCACCTTCGCCTGTCATATCTACGAATTCAGGAATGCTGACCTGTGGAAGGATTCCTTTAAGAAGAATATCATGTAAGTATTGTAATGAATGAAGAATTTTATAAGAAAATATACATAGTAACTACTGCAGAAGAAACAGTTTCAAAATTTTGTGTGCACATTTGAACCGGACACCTCGGTGTATGGCTTACTCTTGAATCCAATAAAGATCGATCGACATTGAGATTGGTTTCAAGAGTAAGCACCCAGGATCGATCGTGAGTCAGTAAGATAGTCGCCTGAAGAAGGATTACTGAGAGAAATTTTTCAACAAGAAAGGAACACACCAATTTTACAAATACTCTCTAAAATCTATTCTTATTATGTTTTATTTCAATTTCTTGTAATATCTTTATCAGATGCCGCCTAGAAGCTCTGAAGGCAACAGACAAGGAGTGTTCGTCAGGCACTCGTCCATCAGTGTCGGTGTTGCAACTCCGCCTGCTTTGTTGCTTCGCGGCGGGCGCACTCATGGCATCCTGGACCTGGACCCCGGCTGCCGCGGCTGGCTGGAGACGCTATTTAGCAAGGTGTGGTACTTTTGTTAAAGTGTATGGTATGATTAGCTGGCTGGCTGATCAAACTAGATTGGGGCCAAGGGAACCAAGGTCCTCGACTCGCAAGTCGAGCGAAATATTTTTATTGGGTTTTTCGGTTTATAAATATTTTTAGTGGGCATGGAGTATTAGGCTTGCCCATGAAATTATAAATTAGAGATTTTCAGAAGGTAGTTAATAACATCAAAATTTCTAGGAAATTGTTTATAAAATATATGTTCTAATGCAGGAAATGCGGCTGTTCGGTGGAAGCTGAGGTGACGCGTCGAGCGCGTAAACATGAGTTGATAGCGCGAGCATACCGTCGCCGCGGGGAGTTCGCTGCGAGAGGCAGACTGTCCATATCACTCGGCGGCTCTAGACAAGACCCAGTAGGACTTTGTATCGATCCTACCTCACCCGCTGATTACCCAGATGATGCCAAACACGAAAGGTAAGTGTCTTCGTGTAATAACACAATTTTCGACTTCTTGACCTTAGTGTATTGTTTGACTGTATTAACATTTTATGATGTTTTATTATAGTGGAGAACTTTCGTCTTCGTGGGCAGCGACCTTGCCTCGTTTCGTTCGACGTCGCGACGCACTGGTATTGCCGACACACACACATCACTCGCTCAGTTCTACGCCGGACCGTCGTAATTCACAAGACTCTCAGATCAGTATTAGTCTACGTCACGTTTCTGTAGAGTCCCGTCGCAACTCACTCGACAGCCAGCTGTCTGTCAAGATTGCTGAAATGAAGACAAAGGTGGGGCGGCGCCGGCCTAAGCATAGCAAAGCTAAGCGCAAGGCCCGCGCCGCTAACACTCGCAAGGAGAGCACGCCCTCCATCGAGAGCCAAATAAGTCGCTACTGGTTGCAGGCAGTAGCTGCCAATAATGATCCGTCCCGAGAGGAGGTCAAATTCAGCTTCGACTGATACGAGCCATATCGTGATATATATCCAAATTTGCAATTCATGCATTGAAATATTGATACTTATTATTAAATAAGTGAATTGTTTACTTATAATAATTTACACAAACTAGGTATAAGGATAAATGTTCAAATTAATATTGCATACCAGCAAAGACATGGGCGTGGCCAGGATCAGGAGTACACTTGGCAATTTAATAATCTAAAACAAGTTTCTCAACGATCTTTACATTTCTATAGAGGGTTTGTACGAAGTGGTTAAATGGAAGGAAGTGAAAACTTGTAAAATAATCTATTTATTTTTTCTCTTGACATTGGAATGCAAGCGTATTCCATTTTGTACTCTGTTACTGCCACCCATGCCTAAATGATTGCTAACTGTGTACATTGAAATAAGCAAAATTGCACTTGTTGCTGTTTAATGTTTATTATTTTAAGGATAGATTTTGAATTGGGCAAATTAATTCGCGATTTATCATTGAAGATAAGGAAACAAAGACTGATCAGAATCTCTAAGGAGTAATGTTTTATATTACTCCTGTTTAACGATATCCATGACAATGCATTTTTGTGATATCCATAACCTCGACAGTACATGTGCCATAAAACTAGCTGTTCATTATATTTCATTGGAATTGACTGAAATATTTTTTAGCTTTTAAGAATCAAGTTTCTTATCATACACATGTTATATAAAATATTTGAATGCAAAAAGCAATGTTGAAAAGTTGAATGTTTACATTTTTTACTAATATAATTGGGCAATAAGAATATGTTGCTTGTCCATATAACTTATGTACAAGATACGGTTGTGATACCAGTTTTTATTGTGAGGCTATATTTTGATGAATGGGCAATTACATCGCCACTTATTTTTACTAAGTATTTTGTATTAAAGTTGATCTGCAAAATTATGCACTTGGCAGCTAAATTAGACTCACTTTTGTGTTTTAGACATGGATTTATGTTTATTGAAGAAATCTCATATTAATTACCAATTTGGTTTTAATACTTTTAGGTGAGACATTTGTTCTGAGGCAGCGGTGCTCTTATTGAAGGAGTTATTGGGACCGTTACCTTATATATTGTGTTGTTAGTGATTGTATCCTCTTTTCTGATGTCCTCACTGTGATCACTTGTTTACAGACAAGCTGGATCATTAAAAGCCATACATTGCATATTTTTTGTCTCTCTGCTGGCAACTCTTGACATAAATATCTTACTTTGGAGGTGTACTTCCAGAAATAGTCATTATTCCTAAACATCCTTTTAGAGGATACATTTGGTAGCCTTCTTACTTAGTTTTTTTATGTATTTATTCTCTGTCAACAAAGGTTTCACCTGCTTTTTCAGAGTATTAAGTCTGTGCTAGCTTTAAATTTTGATATTAATTTTGTATAAGTTATACCTTTACCAATAACTTAGTAAACTTTAATTGTACAATAAAAATTAATTATTTGATAAAAGTGACTTTAATATTAATTCTAATGACCTGTAGCAGCCTGTAGATGTAGAGTAGGTAAATAAAACAATTGTTTGTTTATCCATTTACCATTTAATTGAGAACGAAAGCAAGCAACTTAATGTTCCGGAAATACTCTTATTACCTTGTAATGAATGTCATGTATTTTATTTACTAGTGATAAAATCTATAGTAAATTAAAATATTAATCAAATCTATAATACCTATTGTACAAGATTTGTATAACTATTGGACGTTAACAATGCTATAAAAATAGCTTATTATCACTGCTTCCGCATTCCCTAATTTAAAGAAGCAAGATAAGATGCAACAACAATTAATTTGCATATATTTGCTCTATTTAATGTAAAAGAATATAAGTATGTAGTGTATAAAATAATTATTATGCAAAACCATTCCATTCGATATTTTAAATCAAGATCTAAAATATAAGTTGCTTGTTAGATCTCTCCAATTTGACATTAACGGAAAAACATGCCGAAGTACATGTTTTTGGAAATTTCAAAGTGGAAAGAGTTGTTTTTGGTATGATTTACATAAATGATCGAATGGAACATAGTAGTTTACCTAATAAGATCTCCCCATATAAAAGGTGAACAGATTTATTATGCGTTGTCATCCCTATAAGGTACATATAATCACAGATGCAATTTATGATTGGCAAGAATAAATCGATTAAGTACAATATAATAATTTAATATATGGGTCAATTTCAGTATTCGAGTAAAATCAAATAACAATTGAAGATAAATCTCTTGGAAATTGTAAGATAGATGTATTTACAATAATGATTTACATCTATTGGGATCTTATCTTATTTGTATGCCAGTATTTTGTTATTTATTGTAGTAGACCGTCATGGCTACTTACTAACTGGCCATATACATGTCGCATTTATTGTCATCATTAAAATTTATCTTCAAATGTGACTTGCCATGAATTATTTCCATGTGAGAAGGTGATAATACTTTGCAGATGTTCGGACTTGTCGTCATACTTGTTCTCACAGCAGTCTTTAGGAAATGAAGATGTTAAAAACTTTGACCTCATGATTGAATAAAACATTTTATCATAGCCATAATAATTAAGTAAAAAATGCTGACCAGCATGCATAGTAAAAATCACAAAAGATAGGAAAACAATACCAAAAGGAACATAATAATTTTAAATATTTAACACTTAACCTAAAGCAGCACGGAATGTAGTTGCCACTATTATGCTTAATCCTAAAGTCAAAAATTGCACGATTTTTAAAAGGAAACTCGATCTTTGGTGCTTACAAACTAAATATAAAAAAATCACAATCTAGAAAATAAATTCGGTTTAAAACCTAGCAAATAAAAATGTAAGTACAACCAAGACATAACAAAATAAAAAAAAACATAAAAGAAACCTTACAACTAAGTGCCAACTTATACCGTTTTGACGCGACTTACGAGTAATGTGCACAATAGCTACTAGGTATACTGTAACCTATATGAGCTACCTCGTTCCTGACAACAAATAATAAAATAAGACCTATCTAAATAGTAACAAAATTATCTAGTAATAATGTCATATCACACGATCACAGCAGTCTTTCCTACGATGTCCTCGCCTTGCGTATATTCTTCTTTTCTGCGTCAGTGAAGCCAAGAATGTTCTCGATGGCATTAAGGTGTCCCTGATGATTCTCGGGATCAGTTAGGAAGTAGTAGATGGCCGATTTTAGGAACTGCAATGTCACTTCTGGATCTACATTGGTCTTGCTACCCTTCTGCGACTCGACAATGCGACGGTACATTGCCTGGAAAAAATAAGTATTTGTAAGATTTTAACATATTGATGTGGTCGCAGGCATGCACTGCAACTAAGGTCCAACAAATCTTTTTTGATTTCTACTTCTAATAGGGTTTGTTACTCAATATTTACTGTGTCGATAATTAATTAAAATGTTAGTCACAGTTCAATGTGTCAAAACTATTTCGTAGTAGGCTCTTTCGATAGCGTGTAATCGTGGATCGTGCGGGCTGTAATAGGCAGCGTGAAATATGGAAACATGAAGTAAGTTTTAAACCTTATTGCATCAGTCAAAAAAGATTTGTGTATAATGTAGATATATAATAAGTATCCACAGGATAATCCATCCTATTAGGAGCAAAAATAACAACTGGTATAAATAAATATTAAATACACAATTAGGTGCTACAACTACAAAACTGATACACAAGACAGCTGTATCAATTGGATGGTTTTCAGTACATAGGCACTTACTTATTTTTTATATATCTTATATGTTTTATTTTTTTACAAAACATTGCACTAATTAATTCAGCTGCTTTTTTACACTATAAAACTTATAAAATAATGAAAATACCTAAGTTCCCAAACCAAAAGAGGCTGTTTCAACCAAATAAGTAGGTCACATGCGAAGCCAAGGTTAGGCCAGAAATAAAATAATTAGAAAAGGGTTAGTATCTACATCAGTAAGCCTTGCTAAGAAAAGTGAATTAGTTGCAAGCATTCTATAAAAACCACTACAATCAAAAACTACTTACAAAAGAAAAGAAACCTAAACCAATAAAATAAAAGTACCAAAATATACAAATTCCAAATAAGAAACCTACAACAAAAATCACTTAGGCCAAACACCTGAATTTTATACACTCAAAATTCCAGATGTAACCATAATTGTAACAAAATATTAGAATTAAAGACACAGTTTATTCTTATGAACCTGTGTGGTAAGCAGGGTGTAATATACAAAGTAAAAAAATAAAAGGTGTTCAGCAGAGCACTGCTATGTCCGGAATAAAAATCCAACCTTTCGAGCTCCTAGGACCCATAAAGAAACAGCCTCCTTTGCACTTAGCAGTACTTGTGACTTTGCTGATCGGTCCTCTGTGAATGCCGTGTCCTGTAATGCACTACACGTTAAAGCTGGCTCATGTTAATGGGCACTACATGCACACACTAACACTAAAACCGTGAACAATGCTGTGGTTAATTTCTGATCAAAACTGTTAATTGACTTCTGAATGGTGATTCAGTCTTCTATATCTAAAGATCTTATTAGTTATATTTGAAAATGTTAGAGTTTGAGAATGATTCAAGAGGATAGTGAGTGTCAAAGTCCACTGTGAAAAAAATACATTACACTATGAATTGAAAGGATGAGTGTTTCTGGATTACTTTTTATCGTGATTCTACATATTTTAGTGTTGTAGATATCAGTCAAACTGGGAACAATGTACTTACTCGAACTTTCTCGAGCTCGGTCTGAGTTATCTGCAACTGCTCCAGTAGTTCCTCTACAGATACACGGTTGATTTGCCCCTGCGAAGTACCAGACTCATTATCCTGTAAATGTTAAATACAAATTTTATTTAGTTTAACATGTAGATTTCACCTAAAGTACTTGTAGGGTATAAACTGGCCTTAGTAATTTACAAAAACTAAATGAAATATTTACAAAAGTAAATTGATAAAAAGGTAGACTTGGGAAAATTTGAATAACTAGGTTTTACAAAAAACAAATCTATATTTTTATGAATATGAATCTTTTTCTAAAAGAGATTTAATATTATGGGAAAATAAACTGATTACCTTATCTAGCTCAAACTTGGCAGCCTCAACCCCTTTGTTGTACATTTGTAGGTAGATTGAACGATGCCTGGCCTCCTCCTCCTGCAACTGCTTGCTAACTTCTTCCAGCTGCTTCTCTAGTGAGTGAATCCTCTCCTTGGCTTGCTCGTAGTTGGGCAGTAACTCACAGTACCGGGTGTTGACATCTGCCAACTTTTGTAACAATGCTTCCACTTTATCATTATGCTGCTTTTTCATTTCTTGTGTCTCTCCAACATGCGCTCTTACAACATCTTCTACCTTCTTCTCATAATACGATATCAAACTGCGACGTTCCTCATCTCCATCTCCTACATCAGTCATACAGGATGCCTCATGTGTTAACATGTGTACGGACTCTTTAGAATGCAAAGATGAATTTGTGAGGTCGTCAAAGTGTCCGGAGTCAGTGAATGAACCTTGCATTTCATTGCGACATCGGGTTGGTGTTTCATTTTTGAACAATGGGCTGTCAGTAATGTCATATGATCTACAAGCATCTCCATGTTTTGGACTGTCATGTTCAATGGACGCTTCATCAGCATTTTCTCTTATTGTAACTATTTCACTAGAGTTAGATTTTTCATCGGGTGAACAAATTGATGCTTTGTAAAGCCGCAGTTCCACAACTTCTTTTGTGAGTTGGAATATTTCACTATCTTTTTTCTCCAAATCTTTTTTGGCTTGGTTCAAGAGGTTTTTCAGTCTCCGTATTTGTTTTTGTGCCCTCTGAGTTGGTGTTAGGTATTCTTCTCCAGCAAGTCCTGCATGTGATGAACAATGTAGTACATAACGCATTGACCTTCCACTAAATGTTGTGCCGTTGAATGGTGCATAGCCTGCATCAACAGAAGCAGCTGTGGCAGCACTTCCATAACTGTGGAGTGATTCATCATCAGGGAGATCTTCTGGAGAGCCAGGTGGAGTGTGAGCAGAATCAGTCATACTCAACTTTCTATCTAAACCACTCTCTTGTGGTTTCAAGCAGGATTTTTTTGGCTTTTGTAGAGGGTTTGAATTAAATGACTGAAATATGAAAATATTCTTGTCAGTACAAGGTCAAATAAAAATAGAAAAGCTAGGTTGAAACTATTTTTGGAACACTTGAAAAGTGTTTCTTGGCTGAATATTACTTTTTGTAAAACAATTCTTTGTTATCATAATATACACGTTGATACCGTTAAAATTAACAAAGCCGGTCTATCTATTTAACCTCCATTTTAAAATACAATGACAACGAAAACAAATGCTGTTTAGATAAATGGTTTTGTTTAATTTTTTACGTTATTAAAACATATGTGTGTGTGGATTGACCACTGTCGCTATGGTGATGCTTCGTAATTTATGGGGAAAAATCAACATTGAAGGCTACTTACATGGCTCCGCTGGCGATGGCCAGGCTCTTGGAGTCGTGGCACATCGCTGCGTTGTTTTTGGTGTGTATTTTCCGTGATTATTGGTATTAATTTCCTGGTTGCCAGAGGCGAGCGCTGCACCATTTTCTCCCCGCGCAGCCGCAATGAAGAGCTGCGCCGGAAGTTCCCGGTGACATTACCCGCGCAGCAATGTTCATCGTGGAAGTCAGCGACCCTTCTACTATAATTCCGGTTCATTTTCTTCAATTATTCACATCAGCGTAGCGTACTAAAAGAAAAACAGCTGTTTGAAACTCAACTCACGGTCTCACGCACGCAAACACTTGTTATGACGGTGTAACAAAACGTAGATACGAACTTAAAATGTCATTTCACTACTTTTTCAGCATTCAGCGTTATCAAATAAAGCAATGCTAATGCTATGCCAAACGTAGGTAGGTATTGTGTACAAAAAATATATTCTACCTATTTACAAAGATTAGGTATATAAGCACGTTAAAGTATTTACCGCACTATAATAAGTACTTTGTGAGCCGTAACTTAGCAGGGAGTTAAGCAATTTCTTAGGTAAATGGGTACTTATGTACTCTGTTTTTGAGTATGAAATTGTACTGACTACAGTACCTATTTATGTAACAACCTAAACCTTACCTTATAAGCTTAAAGTTTATTAGGTATTTAAATGAAGTACCTAGTATTAATTAGCACAGACTATTAACTTCAGTATTATTTTAAATAACTACCCGCGTAGACAATTTTAATATTATAATATTTGTAGTTTTATTTGCACACAACAATAGCACTTTAAAAACACACGTGTTAGGTGTTATCGTCTTAGCGTCTCAGATGTGTATGTGTTTAAATTACTGACAATGAGACGGAATTATGCCATATAACAGCTAAATTAATATTTGCACAAATACAGTGACAGACAGTATGGCTACAACTTAACTTAGTTGTAAAGTCAATACTTATACTAAATTGGGTAGCTATGTGCTTTAATCAAAAATAAATTATTTCGACTGTTCAATACAATAAAGTATTAAAAAATAATCACACTTTCATTAATTTATTTTATGACTAACTTAATTTTAGTATTTTTCCAGCGAATTTTTACCAAACATGAATGCTGTTTGACGCTAAAAAAACGTGACGTCACAATATACAATCTCATACAAAATTCATAAAAAAACTGTCGTTTTTGACAGTTCGTAAAAAGTATTGAATTTGACTAGTTGGCAAGTCCCCAATTTAAATATTCCCAGCGCTATTCATGTTTACCTACTGACATAAAAAGCACAAAGCGCTCGAGTAATTTCCCAGGCCTCTAAAAGTGGCCTAGTTCCCGCATTCAACGTGGAAAACTGTCCTTCGCAAATATTAACTGAATGCACGTAGCGCATAGATATAATATGTAGCGCAACGCGTTTAGTTGACTACCTGCTTCCTACATTTTTAATATCGTTACGTACCTACGTATCTAGATGAGAATAGGTAGGTATGACATAAGTTTACCTTGGTAAGTAGGTATATTTGATTGAAAAAATTAGGTATGGTTCTAGTATATCATATCTAATTAATAACTGAGTTCGCTAAATGTGTGTGAGTGTACCTACTCCTTTGGGATTTGGCAAGCGCGATGTAGGTATCCTATGTAACGGCATGTACGTCACAGAATACAATAAGTTTTTTAAAGTTTTATAAACTGTTATCTAACGTAGTTAATTTACGTAAAAACCACTTATAATATACCTATCTACTAGTCTTTGTTAATTATTCTTAAAGGTTAGGTAACGCACTTTTTGTTTGAAAGAGCTTCGACTATAGCTGGCTGAATATGACGGTACGAAGGAATATCGTGCTTAAATGAACAAAAATAAAGTCCTAAATTGTATTAAATTAGCATATAATCACCTTGAGAATGTAATCTTTGGAGCGTAAGAAAAAAGAAACTTACCTACCTATAATAAGGATTTTTATATTCATGCAGGCAAGATACTTACGACCTATGTGTGACGATCGAGTAAATGTAATATTTCATGTTTCAAATTCAAGTGTTTATCTACAAATTTCTTTGGTTTTTATCAGATTTTATAATGATATTTTGAATTTTACACAGCTATCAATATACAAAAATAATTCTCACATGTAAATTAACAAACAAGGTTCCTTGGGTACAAATTCGATTTACCACAAGACATTCACTACAAGTGCCAAAAACATTGTATGTTCTAGACCTAAATTAAAACTTGTTACCGTTCCTAGCACTACGTGTTACTTGATATTACCAGGTACCTAGGTAACCTAGGCAACAAATAACTAACTTGGCTGTGTACCAAAACCGCCAAAAACTATTCTATTCTTTTTTTTTTAGAAACGTCGCCCCAATTTTTTTTTAGAACAGTCTGAATATTTAAATTTTATACAAAGAGTTGCAACCAAACATGCACCTTGCACTAAATTTTATGATTTTAACAATAAAAATATACCTAATGCACTCAAAATCAAGACACGTGGTGCCTATAGGTAGAGAGTTTTGTAATCGAAAAGTTACTTAATTCAAAAAGGCCTTTGTCTTCATTATGTTATTTGTGCTCCTAAGCAGCAAAGTTAAAATTCAATTTCTTAACCAGCGTTTGATTAGTAACTTGTAGGTACCCACAATACTTCCCTTATTCGGCATTATAATCGCAATGCAGTAGTTGTGTAATCAATCAATCAATTTACTTTGCCCGCAATATTACGGCACTTTGTATTTAATAACTATAATGTGCTTCGGAACTAGAGATTAAGATATTAAAGGGCGTAGCTGTGACGTAGCGTAGTACTACGCCACAGCTACGCAATGACTACGCATGTATTTAAGTAAGTTTGTGTGACGTATCAATTATAAATGGGTATTTATTTACATATGTGTATTGTGTATGTGTAAGTAGATACTATATCTATGTTACATTAAACATACATTTTAATATGTTGCAGTTTACTGGCAAGACTATACTTGCGTAGAAGTCGATCAATCGAATGAATTCATATACAATGCCTATCTGCATTGCTGTGTAGTAACTAATAAGCATCCAATTTACAATTGATAAATACACGTAGATACATACATACTATAGGTACCTACTTAGTTGCAAATCAATTAATCATTGTGTCGACACGAACTATGATTAGTGATTACTCACGAGAAAAAGTGAACACCAAAAAACCGTCGTGTGCATGAAAGTTTTTGTTAATAAATCTATTATTATTGATGGTTAATAAAGTCGACAGATCGATGATCTGTGATTAGTTAATAATTAAAAAGAAGACAATGTATGCACTAAGCACGCACAGCAAACTATAAACTCATAAATTAATTTGCCCCCGAGGCAATTAACCACATCTTTTTTATTATTGTAGTGTTAAAAAATAATAAAACATTATAATTAATGTGTTCATTGTAATTTCATCTTGGGTACGTACGTATATTATAGGTAAAACTGCGACTAGCAACCATCATGTAAGCAATAGCGTCCTCAAAATTTTCGGTGACCTTAGTGGGATCTACTAGTCGCCTGTCAAGTATGGAAAAGTTGGGAAACTTTGGTTGTAGTGTCTCCCTCTTGTTAAGAAGGATGATTCAAATTCATAACAAAACACAACCAAACGTTCAACTACCATAGCCAACTTTGGAACCAAAATTAAGAAAAAAAAAACAGAGCAGAGGTAAGCATTAAACAACACCTCTACTTAAGTGAAACCATAAAATGGCTCGTTGAGGTAATTACCCGATCTTTTGTTAAGAAATTAATTACATTTTTGACACGTTAGCGTAATAATGAGTAATGAAATAACTTCGTAACCCAGTTAGCAGCGTATTTGCGAGCTACAGCGAAAATATTGCAAGTTGAAGCATCGTCAAACAAAATAATGTATGTACCTAAGTACTTATAAGCAGCTGAATAGGTAAGTGTGCTAGTGTATTTTTTGTAAGGAATCTACATAAGTAGGTAGGGGACCCTGGGGCTGGTTCTAACAAATTTTGAATTAAGCGTAATATTTTCTAAACTACTTTGCTAAGAAACATGGGTTTTTTGGCACATGATGCAAAATTTTATGAGCTTTACGTAAAGTACAACAAAATGTGTATAATAATTACCATATCTGAGAAAAAACGATTTTTGGCAAACAAGTCACTTGTTAGATCTTACCCCCGGTTTGGGGTTGGTTTTAACACTGCAGGGGAAAGTTTTAACAGCGGGAATAAGAAATAACATGTAGTTGGGAATGGGATTTTAGTAAAGACGAACAACAAAATAATATTCAATGTTTATTAGAAACACTAATAAAATTAAATGCGGTTCCTTACCGTTCATAAAATAAACAGAAAACAAAAATTATATAAGTTAAACTGACTCACTCAATCAGCATTACTCAAATCAAAGAACAAAAAATAATTTTTGATCATCGAATGATCATTAACAATCCAAATATAATTAAATTCGGCTCCTTGCCGTTTAAACATGTGTAATAAACTTAAAACTTACTAAATCTATTTTATCAAATAAAAGAACAAAACATTACTCCTCTAATAAATCAACATACAACTTTGGTTATAAAAGTGAAACTTTCTAGTCAGTCTTACTCAACCTACTCATTAGTCAGTCTTTAAACTAGTGATAAAAATTAGTTATCGTAGTCAGAATCTGAGTTGCAGTTTGTACAAACATAAGCAACTGCATCGCCTTTTATGCAGGTTATATGCGACCATCCTTTACAGCATATACATTCGACCCAGTCCACACCACTTATATCTTCAGAATATGATGAGCCACAGCCTAAGCAAATGGTCTCATCCTCATCATCGTCGTCTTCTGAACTCTCTTGTAATACTTTCTTTTTGACTCTATCCCTAGGCTGTTTACTGGACCTCTTTTCTTTTTTTTCCACTTTACGTTTCTTAACTCTTTGCTTTTCCTTATTAATAATAATAGCTTCAGGCAATAGCTTCAGGCGGGCCATTTTTAATGAAAATGTCATTATATCGGATTCGTGGAAACACAAACATGCAAGGAATGTGGTTACCTAATGCATTTGCCGCTGCTGCCACAGTTACCAAGACGCCCCTTTCGGCAGATGTGACTGCTCCAACTTGTTTTGAACCGCGCTGTGCGACGATCTTCTTTGGTTTCTGCACTGTTGTGACTCCCGTTTCGTCAACGTTCCAAATCCTACTTGCAGTTAGATTGTACCTCTGAAGAATTTCCTTGTATTTTGTGAAAAACTGTTCCACATTTGTTCTGTTAAACGACGTAGCTCGACTTAAACTGGTTGCTTCCGGGCTTCGCAGTGCCAAATTTGGGTTCCTCTTCAAAAATGCTGTAAACCAGTCATTACCAGCGGACTTATTTCTTGTCCAACTTTCAGGAATGTTGGAAATCTTGTGATAAACGGCAATTTCATACGCCAGTTTTTTGACTTCACTAGGTAGCAAGCCAAAATATATTACAGCACATTGTAGAAGATATTCTGCTAACTTAATTTCTTGTTGTGTATTAAACACTTGTCTATTTTTTTTATATCCCAGTTCCACCAGTAAGCCTTCTTTCTTCTTTTTCATAAATGTATGAAGTGTTACATGGCATATTTCGAAACTTCTAGCTGCTTCCCTCAGGCTCTTTTTATTTTCCAATACTTCCTTAGCTGCTAGTTCATATACCTCTTCCGATGTACTTCCACGCGTGGTTTTCCTTTTATAATTTCTCATCCTAAAAAAACAATAGAAGTTTAATAGGTCGATCCATACAGCACACAATATTAATTTAATAAATAAATAGTGGACAACATCACATACATTGCTCCGATCCCTTAGTAAGTAGGTAGCTTATATATATATAGCACTTGTGTTATGGAAATCAGAAACAACGAAGATACCACAACACCCAAACCTGAGACAATGTAGAAAACTTATTTTTCCATCGCCATAACCTTAACATTTTTCGAAATGGGATCGCAGTTGGGATCAAAATTGCAACCTCGTCGTATAGAAACAGTTAGAACAATATTACCTACTTTAAAAATTGTTCAACTGTTAAAACCTGCCCCGTGTGCGGGGCAAATATTAACGCGTTAGAACCTACCCCGTGCATTTTGTTAAAACCAACCCCACGGCCCCATTTTGCACAAAGTTATTGTTTTTTTATTATCGCTTATGTTCTCGATTAAAACTTTAACATTAATGAAAAATACAATAAATACGGATTAATGCAGTAGCAAAACCAATTTTCTACGATATATATTTAAAGAGTAATGCAAAAAATGACACACATAAGAAAGTTCATTTACCTGTGAAATTTGAGGCGTCTAACACAACATGCTCCCGTGACGCTCGGTCGGCAACTGACAGGTCGAGACACGTTCGCGCGTATTCGTAGGCACAAAGTGCGTTGGAATTGGCGTGGTAAGTCGAATAGGTTTTAGGTAATTACGCTGTTAGTATTTACCCCTGTTAAAACCAGCCCCAGGGTCCCCTACAGTTTGAAACTTATTTTTTTTTGATCTTTTTGTTTTTGAAGCCATTTCAGTTGTTATATATATTGTGTTAATTTTAAAGATTTTACTTATATAATGCGCTACGAAAACTTCTTCGAGCTTCTAGCTGTATTATTGACCCCAAGGTGGAAAATTCTCATTCTCGCCTGGGGAGGACGAAAGGGACTATCAGACTTCTAGCCTTGTCCCAAATACAATTTACATATTAAGAAGTGAAGTGTGAGAGAGCCATGCTTCGGCACGAATGGGCCGGCTCGACCGGAGTCCGGCTTCACAGAAAACCGACGTGAAGCAACGCTTGAGTTGTATTTCGTCGTGTGAGTGAGGTTACCGGAGGCCCAATTACCGTGCCTTTCCCCAATCTCCCCGATTCCTGAATCCCCAACGATCCTCAAACTCCTAATCCCCAAAAGGCCGGTAACACACTTGTAACGCCTCTGGTGTTCCAGGTGTCCATGGGCGACGCCGATTGCTTACCATCAGGTGCTCCGTCTGCTCGTTTACCGGCTTATGCCATAACAAAAAGATAATTTTGCCAATCTAGGGAAAATAAATCTATCTAGGTACTTAAAATATGAAAAGTAAGTAAGTAATGTAAGTCGTAATGTTTGTTTTTCTTTAACGACTAATTAAAAAAATCATAAAACGTATTATAATTTTGCAAATCGATCGATGCATACGTAGGTACAGTCTACCAACTTTTATTGTCATTGACTGTACCTCATTGCACTACAACTTCGACCAAAAAGTAGGGCGACAGCAGAATGACGTGCGATAGCCTGCTACTGATTTCTAAATCCTTATACACTAACATCAATCAATTTTTTTCACTGTAGGTACCTATGCATGTGTTGTGTATTTATGGCTCGTGACTTGCATTTATTTTGATTAAGGTTTAATAGTTTCCTGCAAATTAAGTGCTACGATTGACTTATAACTAACCACAGATACTAAAACACGAACGTAATGTATTATCACTTTATATTGTGGTATTATTATGTTTAGAAATTTCTCGTTTTTAATGCACTAGTGGGGTTTTTTAATAAACTGTTAAAACTGCAGTTGTTATCTATTAAACTGTAATAGTAGTATTTTATAGGTATTGAATAAAAATAAGGATATTTATTGGTGAACTGAAAGACATGATTATGTGTTGGTTGTGAGGTTTCAATGATATTTGCTGGTATTATTATGCAAGTTTCCAATGGAATTCGTGTTTAATAAGTAGGTATAATAAAGGTAAGTTTTCAATCTACGTTTAGAATTGTTTTTTATAGACATTACTATTCATAAATAATACTTAAATAAGAGTGCATTTGCTGTTATTAGTGAATTCAATTGATTTGATTATACTTTTGATTAGATAATATTTGATTATACATTGTAATCGGTTAACTTAATTGAAAATACACAGTGTTCAAGTTCTTTAATAGTACTTGCACTTACCTATAAAACGTAGAGATAGATTTTTTTTTAAGGGGGGAAAATCATCGAATGACTACTCCCGCCTGGGTGAAGCGGGAGGGAGTGTCAGACTCCTACTGACTAAAAATCACCCCGTTCCTTCTCCTGCACGTCGAGCCGGAGCTCCGGTGACCCGTTAGATTCTACGTCTAAATTGATATCACAATAAGTATTGAACTTCACAAACTCACAATTAACACTAGCACACATAGTCTTTTAAAACTGTTTGTTTCCTGGATCTATTTACATAATATGTCTTAGTATATTCTGACTAAATATTTTTACATTTTGTTTTATCCAGTACCTACTCACACCACTTTAATTTAAGTTATACGTGAGGACTTGTACAGTGTACTTGGTTCACCGATACCTGGACTTATTGCTATATTTTTAATTGTTTTTTAATTAGCTGCAAGTCTACTTGTGCTTCAATAAATAAATTCGAACGTCCTTTTATAGAGAAAGTTGATTGAAATGTAATAAATTGTAAGGAAACTACTTACATGAAAGACTGCACCGGCACTGTGCGTAGTGCAACGCATCATGAGTTACGCACTAGATGCACATTTACATAAATATCGAAGTAAGCATTACAAGTGTTATGTAAAGACATGTCGGGAATGTTTTGAAATGAACATTACAAGTATTTCAACTCAGTTTTGAAACTATAAAACTAGGTAAGGGATGATTCGGAGTAAACTTTCTACAATAAACGAGCTTTATCTACCATAAATGCTAGAGCTTTATCTACCAGCAAATGCTATGAGTATTAATAGGCTGTTGTCAAGTGATTTGACTAATGAGGTTGTTTAATCTTTTTTTTTATACTATGTAAGTATAAACAGTAGCAACAAAGTTTATGGTGTTAAACGGTCCCTGTATGTAGCGACAGCTGCAACATCAGAGACATTGCAATAGTGTGTTGTTGATTATGTAGGAATTTATAAACATCATTTTTAGAACCCCATGCTAGATCTCGACTTAGTAACCGCAACTGCCAATGGGGCTCTGATTTTGGGACCTCGGGATGAAGTGGTTGCACGTCATCTCGATTATCGATTTTCTGAATTCTTAAAAATAGTATACACGTTTTACGGTGTATGGCATAGAATCATGTAATTAAGACCGTCGTATGATATTTTTTCTTGAGTGAGTAAAAGTGTCTATGTGTATACATAATTACATATGTATAAAGTCTTGTGTTTGGTTTCCTGGTTGCCCTAGGAATAAAGTTTGAGATTCCTATAAATAATATTACAGTATTGGTAAACAGAAACAGATTTTAATTGTTCTTTAAAGGAGATCTCGAAGTTTATTTCTTCTGATCTCTGCATTCAGTTGAACTGTCTTGTTTGTTTGAAATAATCAGAAGCATAAACAAAGGACACAACACAACATTGTTATGACAAAGCAAAAGAGTTGTTCGAACGAAGAGAGTGCATTGAAATCAATTTAATAATCACAGCCGGTGAACGGCGTGTTACGTTCAAATCAATTGTTATTGTACTGTAGGTACACCTACACAGTTATTCAATCAGAAAATAATTTTCAAGCAAACAAATGGCATGTTTGAGGAGCAAAACAAGTAGAAATCGTAATCGTAAAAAGCCTCCAATTAAACAATTTAATGAGTAAAGTTTACGCTCAATCGCTTTTGCATCGGTCTCGTTTAGATTCCGCACGTTGAAATTAAAATAGCGTCATGAACAAGTAGACTCATTTCAGCGCTAAACTCTCTAAATTCACACAAGTAAGCTTGTTATGGTTCACATGTATTGTTTTTCACTCCACTCTATGGTTTCGCCGGTTGACTTGTTATTTGAAACGTTGTGTAAGTACTTAATTTTGTTCAAGGCCTATCTCATTATTTGAAATTAAGTATAAGTGTATATTTGTACCATATCATTATTTTGCCATGATGCAGCAAAAAACCGAACGTGATTCAAACTTTGCGAATAATCTGGAACGAACGACTCGTTTTACTTTTTGTTGGATTAGCAAATGAAGAACAATTTCAACGCTAAGAATGAGTGAGAAACAAGTTCAAAACATTTACCGGATGCACTCATTCACGGAAGGTGTTAGCACAACGCCGCTTGTAAAACATTATTTACTGCAAACCGAAAGTAAAAACAAATTAATCATACTCACTAATTGCATCTTGCACGAATTTCCCAATCTCCTTGGAACTCAAAGAAAACATTATCGTAGTAACATGAGCAAAACACATCGTTTGGAGCACTGTGGCAGTTCGGAATACGTCACAAGTCGATCGCACGATTATCGTCGAAGGGAAAACTTAGTATCAACTCGAACATCGCAAATTACATAGAGTAAACCATCCACGTTAACTTTTACGCTAAGAATGTTGCGGCAAGTTGTCGAGGCCCGGAGCGCAGTGCGTGCTTGGTCAATGTTTGTTCACGGTGTGTTGGCGCCGCCGTCGCTAGCGCCCCTCTGCGGCCACGTTGACGCAACGCCTCGAGCCAGTCGGCTTGCTAAACGTACTCCATTGTAGTCACTGGCATTACAACACAATACTTGATGGAAAACTATAAAAACGAGAACCGAAGAAATGGTCCCGTTACCTTTATAGTTACATCGAGCGACGACGATGTCTCGAGTCTCGAGTCTCGACAACAGAGCTATATGCGACATCTGGTGCTGATCTACAGCGTCTACATCCGCTCTAGTTGCAGTTGCTGTTATGTAAGATCCACTACCACGATTCTAGTTATTTTATCAAGATTCAGCGAGTATCATGTTATGTCCTACTTTTCATTTCGTTATCGATATTTATGATTCCAGAAACAGAATTCGTAGCTTGACTACGGTGTAGCATGGGCGAGCATCGAGTACCTAATGGAGTACTTACGTGTTTTAATTTGGCAGTGTTGACCTCTACGAAGGGTCGAAAGTAGGGTGTGCACGGTGCAGGTGTACTATAAATAGGTAATAAGCGAATGTTGAGCACCTGCATTGTCCACAGCACACGGATGGATGTGTCGGCGGCGGTTTTGTTCCACAATAATGACGACATACTCTGATAACGATGAAAACATGTTCCACGGGTAAACGGGCGCGATTGCGTTGAAAGTTTCTAATTTGTTTTATTTACATTAAATTATTGCGCGGTGCATTTACTTTGAATTATTTTACTTCAAGTTATATAAGAGCGTGAAAATCTTAATAAAAATTTTATGCAATACCTACAATCATTTGCGTGGATTTTTCTTCTTTTAAACATTTCAAGTAGAATTTGCGTAGGTAATTAATTTTGGGTTCGTGCAACGATGTGGGTAGGTAATACGCAGGTGATATTTCTATTCTGTTATTTGTTACATCAATCATATTTTCATTTATTTCGCCTTGGGCCATTCACTGCGCTAATTACTTAAATGCAACTTTATTATTACGTATTACAGAGTTTTAATTACATACTTCCTGAATGATGTTAAAACAGATTGCATGCATTTTATGACCCTCGAAGTCTGCAGCGATTCGTCGATTTTGCTAACGATTAGGTGTAATAAGTTAATATTTTTGCACGTTTAACCGATGTATTGATCATTATCTTAATTAAATTAAGCGATACATTTTGTTATCATTAAGTAGGCGAGTACTTGCGGAGCATATCTATTATTTTGGAGTGATAGATAAGTTGTTTTATACTTTTTTGGTTTAGTGGTAATAATTATGATAGTAATAAATACGATAAGGATGAAAATAATAGAGTTCCTAAACCCTCTCGGTTGCAAAATGTTCCTATTTTTTCCTTAACTTACTTTAATCTTACTTTATTACTGTTTTAGTTTAGAATATTTCGCGTAGAAGTCACTTTAAATGACCTTATTTTAAATACTAGTACTTACTCAACACAGAACAATTCTTCGAAACTCCAATTAAAATAATATTTTCAACATTATCTACTTTAAGTATTGAACATTTTTTTCACGTCTTGTAGACCAATCGGTTGTTAAAGGCTGGTACCTAGTAATTTGTAGGTAATTGTTGTTATATGAACACGGCGCGACGTTGGTCCATAATTACCTTTCATTTCGTCCGACACTTATAAAAAACTTAGTGCTAAACTAAATTGTGTGAAAATCTGAACGAACTTAGCGACGCTGTGGGACAATTGCTGATTATGTAACGCTAATCATTATTAGGTAAATGACCAATAAAATCAGTAAGTCTACAAAGAACGGGCGAACCGTTATATAAAATTTGTGTTTAGTCAATTAACTTCATGTTTAGAGAAGATTTTGTTATATGCACTTGATGATACTGTTTTTAGTGCCACTAAAGTAGTTTGCGACTGCCTCGTTGGCCGAGTGGTCGCAAGTGCGACTGCCGGGCAAGGGGTTTTGGGTTCGATTCCCGGGTAAAAAATCTCAGTAGTAGCGCGGAGTCTGGAATTGTGCCCTGTATAGGCTCACCCCTTATTTATTACATGGGACTCATAACATAAATAGTGAAAAGTAGGTGTTACATTGTACAGTGGCATTAAGTGCCGTAATGTACACCTCTGGGTTACCTCTTCGGGGATGAAAGGAGTGATGGTGTTATGTAAAGAAGATTAGTGTTTGCAAACAGACTATTTGTAATTATACGTACAGGTTTCGAGTTAGGATCCGAAGCTGCGGATAACGCAACGGGTTACCAGGGTTCCACCTCGAATCAGAAGTAGGAACGGGGTGGTTTTTAGTCGGACACTCGTTCTAGCCTCACCCAAGGCGGGAGAAGTCATTGGATGATGTTCCCCCCTCAAAAAAAGGTTAGGATTCGATTTAGGATGTTGTTCGTCACCAGTACCTACTTATCACTGTCAGTGATGTCTAATAAACTTTTTTTTATGAAGTAGGAGGCAAACGATCACCTGATGGTAAGCGATCACCGCCGCCCATGGACACCCACTACCCCAGAGGAGACACAGGTGCGTTGCCGGCCTTTTAAGTACGCTCTTTTTTTTGAAGGTTTTCATTCAAGAGGTGACGACCATCACCGGTTCATTAACGATATTACTTTGTTATGTTGCTATATTATCTCTAAGAGCTAGATATTGATTGTATAACATGTTGTATCCATTCTCTATGAACCTGACCTTGAACGTTAATTTCTTTCGATTCGCTACATATGCCTATATTTTTGAAGGTCTTAGAATGTTAGCATTCCAAGTAGGGTTTTTCGTAATCAAGAGGCCACATACCGAAACATAAGCACGCTTTAATTAAAATAAAACGAATTCGTTCCAGAGCTGAATTCTTGTTATAATTTCGACTTGACCTGAACATTATCGCATTTTGTTTTAATAACATTTCTTACTTACTACTGAAATACTCAGTATATTTTAGTATGTCTACTAGGTACTAGCGGTCTACCCTTGTTTATGTAAGTACTTTTTTTTTCTTGGCATAAGCCGGTAAAAGATCAGACGGATCACTTGATGGTAAGCAATCGGCGTCGTCGAACACCAGAGGCGTTACAAGTGTGTTTTGGGGATTAGGGGTTTGAGCATTGATCGTTGGGGATTCAGGAACTCCGGTAACCTCACTCACACGACGAAACGTTGCTTCACGTCGGTTTTCTGTGAGGCCGTGGTATCACTCGTGGTATTTATTTCCTAAGGGAAATGCTCCAAGTAGCATAGGGAGCATAGGGCGTCTATATGAAATATTATGGTTAAATTACTTACGTATTAACTTTATGTAGACGACTTTTTATAGTTCTTCGAGGGGCTTCTAAAGGGGGTTGCCCCACGATTTACTCCTGGATTTTCTCTAGGATAGGACTAGGATTTTCTCCTGTGTCGTGGATACTTTTACAAACAAACAAGTTCACATACACATGACACCCAGACCCGGAATAACAATTTGTGGATTACACAAAGAGTTGCTCCGTGCGGAAATCGAACCCGCGACACGTTGCTCGGCAGCCGGTTGCCCAGCCACCGGACCAGCCGTCATCTGATTATGTTTTAAGTCCTAATTAAAGAAATGAATATAAATAACCGGATTCATTAGCATCATCAACTTTTAAAAAAGTGGTTAAATCCTGATTTTTTGAGAACAATGAGTTATAAATTTCGTCGGTAATCTTAACACGTTAAACGCCATGGGGGGGTCACCGGTGACCGACGTTAGCGGAGGATTAACCTTCAACAGTTTTTTATTGGCAGTCAAAGTCTTAATGACATATTTAGTAAAATAGGTAGGTAGTGCATATTGATTTAAATACCTACACCACGTAGATACTTATGTAGGTATTTGTTGCATACCAGTTCGTTAGTTTTATGTAAATTCATACGTAGGAGAACACGTTCTGTTTCACCGGAATCTAGAGAATTATAACTAGGTACTTGCTTAGGTGTGTGCCAATTTATTTTGTTACAAAACCATCCGGCATCGTTTGCCTGGTAGTGGTAGTAGCATATATTCAGTAATTAGGTTTAAATTAAAGTCTGTGATTGTTTTAATTATGATTTATTTTGATAACGCAATTAAAGCCTTGGGCTTTATAAATATGGAAAGTTTTTTAGTATTCAACTTTAATTTAAGTACTTTAATGCAGTAACTGCTGGCTAACATGATGATTTGGCCATTTTGACTTCGCAGCAGATTTAATATAATAAGGAAATATTAGGAAGACATAAGTAAGGCTCAATTGTTATCGTTACTAATGAAATTATACATCCATCCTCCATAAAAAATATAATTATGGCGACCAACTATGTACGGAGTTGATCTTCAAATCTCCAAAAATTTTTCCCACAATATTAATGTAGATACTATTATTGTAGTCACATTCCAGAGTTGACACCTTATCCATAAAGCAATTCATCCAAAAACCACAGCATTGAAATGACGAACCGTTTGTCCCTCGCCACAAATATTAAAAAAAAAGATGATTGAAATATTTTCTGGCGGGAAAGAAGCTTTCGTTTCGTGTCAACGTCAATGTCATTACGTGTCATTTTAAATTAATTTCAACATAATGATTAGTTGGTTACTTATTGAAGTAAAATTGTTGAGTCACATTTTATTTTTCCTATAAGTTTACTTCTATTCGCGATAAATGGTTTGATAAAATATACCTACAGCAGTTAGTAGCAACTACCAACAAACTACTTTGAATTTATCTGTGACAAAAATAAAGGAACAATTTAAATTTTCCCACCTTTTGTTTCAAATGTTTTTTGTATTATAAAGAGAAAGCCATTGTTTTTCTTTAGATTTGCAAATGTTAACAAGACGGTAGTTTGAATGTTTAGACTTTTTCAGTATTTTTGTGTAGGTAATATTTTCTGTACCTAAGTGATAGGAAAGGTCGTAGGAAGGTAAATGCTAAGCTATAAAATGGAGCATCATCAATAAATACTACTGTTCAATATGAAAAAAGACTTACAAACAGCCCAAACTATAACTTCCTTTTTTGACGTTGCTTAATGACAATTT